TAGATTTGTCAACTCTTTCAAAAAATGAACTCACTTGCTTGAGTGTGTTGGACAATGATCCCCTCCTATTGCACAAAAGACTTGGTCATGCAAGTCTGAATCAACTCAACAAATTAGTCTCCAAGGACTTGGTGATAGGGTTACCCAACATCAAGTTCAAGAAAGACTAAAGTTTGTGAGGCCTGTGCAAGAGGGAAGTAGGTAAGATCATCCTTTAAAAGCAAGAAGTTGGTAAGCACGACCGGGTCATTGGAATTGGTTCATATGGATCTCTATGGTCCAATGAGAATATTGAGCAAAGGTGGTAAGAAATATGTGATGGTACTTGTTGATGATTATTCTAGGTTTACCTGGGTAGTATTCTTAACATGTAAGGATGAAAAAGTTGACATGTTTACTGCCTTTGTTAGAAAAACTCAGAAACAACTAGGTAATCAACTTGCATCTATCAGGTCTGATCATGGAACTGAATTTGAAAATGCTAAATTTGCTAAATTTTGTGATGAGCATGGTATAGATCATAACTTCTCTTCCCCTAAGACTCCTCAATAAAATGGAGTAGTTGAAAGAAAAAACATGACTCTTGAAAATATGGCTAGGACTATGATTCTTTCTAGTAATTTGCCACACAGCTTCTGGGCAGAGGCTGTAAACAGTGCATGTTATATCATAAATACATGCGTGACTAGACCTCTTGTAGAGAAGACTCTTTATGAGTTACTTAAAGGGAAAAGCCAAATATATCCCATCATAGGGAATTTGGATGCAAGTGCTTTATGAACAATAATGGAAAGGACTCCCTAGGTAAGTTTGATCCTAGAAGTGATGAGGGAGCATTATTAGGATATTCTTCATATAGCAAAGCATATAAAGCGTTCAATAAAAGAACTTTGTGTGTAGATGAAAGTGTACATTTAGTGTTTGATAAAACTAAAACTCTTTCTAAGAGACAGGAACATGAAGATGAAGCCATTGGGCTGGTAAAAGATTTGAGTGTAAGTCTCAACTCAAGCCAAAGTGGCACCAAAAGAAAGGAACATGTGATGGATCAGGTTCTTCCATCCAGGGAAACAGGACAGGGGGAACTAATTAAAGAGGAACTGAAAATAATCCCCTAAAGTAATTTCTTCATTATCATGTTCCTCAACAATAGATCATGGAAGAAACATCAAGCAGAAATCAGTTGGTTGTGAAAACTCACAAGTATCAAATTTCTCATCCCATTGAGAAAATAATTAATGATCCAACCTCTGGAGTTAAAACTAGATCACATTAAAGAATTTGTGTGCTTTTGATGCTTTCCTATCTCTTATTGAACCTAAAAATGTTGTTAAGGCTTTACAGGATGTAGATTGGGTAAATGCAATGCAAGATGAACTCAATCAGTTCGAGAGAAGTCACATTTCGCATCTAGTTCCTAGATCTAATGACAGATCAGTAATTGGCACAAAATGGGTCTTCAGAAACAAGCTTGATGAATATGGAATAGTTACAAGAAACAAGGAATACATGGAAGGTATAGATTATGATGAGACTAGTGGTCTAAGGATATAACCAAGAAGAAGGTATAGATTATGATGAGACCTTTTCTCCAGTGGCAAGACTGGAGGCAATAAGACTCCTTATAGCCTTCGCAGAATACATGGAATTCACTCTTCATCAGATGGATATAAAAAGTGCCTTTCTGAATGGCTATCTAAAAGAAGAAGTGTTTGTTAAACAACTTCCAGGATTTGAGAGTAAGGAGTGTCCTGAACATATGTACAAATTAGACGAGACTCTCTATGGACTCTAACAGGTTCCTATAGCATATTATGAATGATTTTCCAAATTCCTGGTTGAGCATGACTAGAAAAGAGATAAAATTTACAGTACTCTATTCCTGAGAGAAAAAAGGTGAGGATCGTCTTGTGGTACAAATATATGTTGATGACATAATTTTTGGGGCAACCACTGACAAACTAAGTAAGGACTTCGCCAAATTAATGGGGAGTGAGTTTGAAATGAGTATGATGGGTGAGCCTAACTTTTTCTAAGGCTTACAGATCAAACAAAACCCTAAGGGAACCATAATCCATCAGCAGAAATATACAAAAAAATTGATCAAAAAGTTTAAAATAGATGAATAAAAGGAAATATACACTCTCATTGCAACTTCCACTAAATTAGACATAGATGAACCTGGTTCATCTGTTGATCAGAAGTTATATAGGGGTATGATTAGTTCACTTGTGTATCTTACTGCTAGCAGACCTGACATAGTTTTCAACGTAAGGCTTTGTGCTTATTTTCAAGCTAATTGATATTAGGCTAAATCTACGTAAATTAACAATTGTTACGCTCCCGCTTGATTATATTCCGATGTCATATTATGACTAATTGATGAAAAATAGGCTCTAATTGTGAATTGTATATATTTCAGGTTGAGGAGCTTATGTTAGGCCTTAAAAGTGTGATTGGAACCATTTTAGAGCAAGAAAGACCCCTCGGAGCTGATTACGCTTGAAGACGAGGAAAAGAATCAAGAAAGTGAACAACTGGGTGTGCGCGCCCAGATGCGCGCCCGCGCTACTTTAGCGCGTCCAAGATAGAACCCTCAGCCAACTAGCGCGCCCAGATGCGCGCTAGACCAAATTTTGGGAAGTTTTTGTTAAGGGCTAAAGTGGAAATCTGGAGGAAAATTCACTTAGCCTATATAAATTCAAGCTCGCCCAAGGAAGTGGGGGGAAGGTTTTCAGAAGCTTGGGCAAGAAACAGAGAGGCAAGAGGCAAGGAGGAGATTCAACCATAAAGTTCTTCTTTTCTTCTATTTGTTTTTGTTGTGTGGGATGAAATTAAACCTATTTGTGATGAACACTAGTATGAGTGGCTAAAACCCATTATTCTAGGGTCATGGGTAAAACAAGAATGTTGTGGTTTGAGGTCTAATTTGACGAAGTTGGTTTATCATACTGGGTTATTTATTTAAATCTGCATTTAATTATTTTGGTGAATAGCTAACATTAAAATACTATATACGAATCTTTAGTTGAACTCGAAAGTCGAAACTTTAGATTGCATATAGAATTAAATAGAGCAAGTTCTTGAACCCGGGCCTCGGGGAACAGATTAGCAATTGGGATAGACATATACCCAATTGCCTTGCTTGGCTGAAATACAGGAATTGTGAATGTGTTCTTGTTAATCTTTATTCCATAGGCATATAGACGTTGAGCTAACTTGAATAGGAGAGTAAGAACTCGACAGATTCTTATGAGCAATATAAACCCTGTAAATCAATAACCCAGATATACCACTTAGTCATTTTATGCCAAGAACACAATGTGATTGTTAACTAGCCCGTGACCCTGGAATATCCTCTTTTACTATTTTTTATTCGAATTAATCATCTGTTTGGTTAGCTGCTCAAGTTAGATTATTTTTTGATAGTTTACGTAGTAAAAAAAAAGTTACACTTCTGTTTTGTGAAGAAAAACTCTTGGATAGATAAATTAATCAAGTTGGAATCATTCAAAAGTTAATCACAAGTCTTCGTGGGAACGATACTCTACTTACTACTCTATTACATGACGATCACGTTCACTTGCGGTAGTGTTTTGGTCGGAAAAAGTTTTTGGCGCCGTTGCCGGGGACTTAAAAATTAGCTACTTGACTGAATTGAGCTTTTATTATTTACTTATTTGAGTTTTAACTTTCAATTGACTTTGTTTGTGCTAATACAGGATTTTCTATTGAATGCGAAGAAGTAGAAGCGCAAATAATCTCCTTCCTTTCGATCCCGAAATTGAACAAACACTTCACAGATTGAGGAGGGAGGTGGATGCTAGAACTAGAATTGAAAGAGAGTTGGACATCGTCGTTCAACCACATCCAATTGAGATGGCATGTAATGAGGAACGCGTAGTGATTGAAGCCGCAAGGCCTAGTCTGGCTAATATTATTCAGGCTATTGCAAAGCCTGATATCATTGGGTACTTTGAGCTGAAACAATACATGGTGCAGCTGATCCAGTTCACAGGCAATTAGTGGGTCTACCTCATGAAGACCCGCAAAGGCATATTAAGAATTTTCTGGAAATTATGGATACTTACAACTATCCGAACGTTTCAAAGGACTATGCCAAGCTGACACTTTTTCCCTTTTCTTTGATCGGGGAGGCTAAGGAGTGGTTGAATAAGGAGCCATCAAATTCAATCAGCACTTGGGATGATTTGGCAAGGAAATTCCTAATCAATTTTTTCCCTACCAAGAAAACAATGGTATTGAGGAGTCAAATTCTTGGGTTCGAACAACGAGCTGGTGAAACACTTCGTCAAGCATGGGAAAGGTACAAGAATATGCTCAGAGATTGTCCACATCATTGTCAAACGAGTGAGGTATTGGGTCATACTTTTGTAGATGGGTTAGATGATACGCCGAAGATGAATCTTGATTCAGCTTGTGGGGGTAGATGCATGGCCCGACCATACAATGAAATCCAACTTTTGTTGAATACCTTCACAGCTAATGATAATAACAGGCAATGTGAGGGTGACTCACGACAGGAGATTAAGCAAAAAGCAGCTGAATTACTTGAGCTCGACGACTTGTCAGCCATGAGAGCCGATATTGCAAAGTTGGCCAATCAGATGACCAGGATGATAATGCAGCAACCTCAACAGATGCAACATGTTCAGTAGATGGATATTTGCTGCGAACTGTGCGGAGACAGTCATATGAGTGATATGTACCCCACAAATCCAGAATCTATCTATTATGTGGGGTAATAGAACAGAGGTCCACAGAATCAGCAAGCTCAATACGGAAATTACTACAACCCAAATTGGAGGAATCATCCCAACTTCTCATGGGGTGGAAATCAGCAGAATTAGAATCAGCATAGACCCCAAGGGGGTTTTAATCGGCCTCAAAAGCCACGCCAACAAATGGAAGAAAGCACCAATGAATTAGTAAAGAAGTTATTGATAGACTATCAAAAGTTCAGGATCGATCTCAGAAATATGGAGAGGCAAATGGGTCAGTTAGCAACAAATCAAAACACTAGACTTACGGGCGTTCTACCCAGTGACACAGAAAAGAATCCGCAAGTGAATGCAGTTACACTTAGAAACAGGAGGGATCTTGAGGAAGTGCCAAAGAAAAGGAAAGATAAACCCGTACCTGAGTGGGAGTTGATCCCTAAAGTCACAAACGAGCCAAAGAAGAATGCTGAAATTCCAGAGCCAGTGGAGGTCCCAAGGCCATCACCACCTTTCCCCTAGAGATTGCAGAAAAAGAATGATGATCGCATGTTCAGCAAATCTCTCTCCATGTTGAGCCAGGTTCAATTGAATATCCCACTTGTCGATATGCTTCCTGAAATTCCAAAGTATGCTAAGTATATAAAAGATATAGTGGATCATAAGAGAAGATTCACTGAATTTGAGATAGTTGCACTTACGGAAGAGTGAACTTCCAGGGTCCAAAATAAGCTCCCTCAAAAGCTTATGGATCCTGGCAGCATTACGATTCCTGTGCGCATTAGTAATATTGATGTGGTCCGTGCTCTTTGTGATTTGGGGGCAAGCATAAACCTGATGCCCCTATCCTTGTTCAAAAAATTGGGTCTGGGAGCTCCGGGCCAACTACTGTGATATTACAGCTGGCTGATATGTCGATAGCGCACACCGAGGGGGTGATCGAAAATGTGTTGCTGTAGATTGGGAAATTCATCTTCCCTGCTGATTTCATTATCCTTGATTATGAGGCTGATGAACTGGTCCCAATCATATTGGGGCAACCTCTCTTGGCTACTGGTGATGCAATTATCAAAGGGAGAGAGGGAAAGATGATCTTGAGGGTAGGTGATGAGGAAGCAGGTTTTAATGTCTACAAAGCAATCCAACTTCCCCGCTACTATGAGGAGCTCTCAATGATATCTGCCGTTGAGGTTGATGAGCAGATTCAGGATGCGAGTGTTTATCTAGACGATTCTCTAGAGAAAGCACTTATGTTGTTTGATAGCCTGGGGAATGATGAGTAGGTCGAGGAGATGATACACATCCTTCATACATCTTGTGCATACATGCAGGGGATACACCCTTTTGGACCTTTGAGCAGGCCAGAGGTACCTCCTCCAAAGCGGTCAATTGAGGAAGCCCCAAAATCGTAGCTTAAACCTCTCCCATCTCACCTGTAATATGCTTATTTGGGTAACTCTACCACCCTACCTGTTATTGTTTCTTCTGACTTGTCTAAATTGCAGGAAGAAAAGTTGTTGGGAGCGCTACGTGAGCACAAGCGCGCACTTGGGTGGATGATGTCTGATACTAAGGGCATTAGTCCAACGTTTTGCATGCACAAAATCCTCATGGAGCATGGACATAAGCCCAGCGTTGAGCAACAACGCAGACTCAATCCAATTATGAAAGAGGTGGTAAGAAAGGAAGTGATTAAGTGGCTTGATGCAGGTATTGTATTTCCTATCTCAGACAACAAATAGGTAAGCCCCGTCCAATGTGTACCCAAGAAAGGAGGGATAACTATAGTAGTTAATGAACATAATGACTTAATCCCTACAAGAACTGTCACCGGGTGGAGAATTTGCATTGACCATAGAAAATTGAACAATGCCACCCGGAAGGACCACTTTCCCCTCCCTTTTTATTGACCAAATGCTTGATAGATTAGCTGGCCAGGAGTACTACTGCTTCTTAGATGGTTATTCGGGGTATAATCAGATTGCTATAGCCCTAGAGGACCAACAAAAGACCACTTTTACGTGTCCTTATGGCACGTATGCGTTCAAGAGAATACCTTTTGGTCTTTGTAATGCACCTGCGGCTTTTCAAAGGTGTATGACGACCATTTTTATTGACATGGTTGAGCGTTTTGTGGAAGTATTCATGGATGATTTTTCTATGTTTGGATGTTCTTTTGATAACTGCTTAATGAACCTCGATAAAGTACTTACTAGGTATGAAGAGACTAACCTGGTGCTAAACTGGAAAAAATGCCATTTCATAGTACGCGAAGGTATATTTTTGGGGCACAAGGTGTCCAAAAATGGTTTGCAGGTGGACAAGGCAAAGGTGGAAGCGATTGAAAAATTGCCTCCACAAATATCTGTCAAGGGCATTCGCAGCTTCTTGGGCCATGCAGGTTTTTATCGTCGTTTCATTAATGATTTCTCAAAAATTTCCTCTCCCTTGTGTAGGTTGCTTGAGAAGGATGTCGCCTTCAAATTTGATGATGCCTATCTTAAGGCATTCGAGAAGCTGAAGGGACGGTTGGTGACTGCGCCAATCATAATTGCTCTGGATTGGGAGCAACCATTTGAGTTGATGTGCGATGCGAGTGACTTGGCTATTGGAACTGTTTTGGGACAAAGGAGATATAAAGTCTTCCACTCCATCTATTATGTGAGCAAAACTTTGAATCCAGCTCAGATGAATTATACAGTCACTGAAAAAGAGTTTCTTGCAGTGGTGTGTGCGTTTGAAAAGTTCAGGTTATATCTTGTAGGGAACAAAGTCATCGTCTATATAGATCATTCAGCTATCAGATACCTGTTTGAGAAGAAGGATGCCAAATTGAGACTGATTCGGTGGGTCATACTCTTGCAAGAGTTTGATGTAGAGATCCAAGATCGCAAAGGAACAAAGAATCAATTGGCTTATCACTTGTCCAGATTAGATAATCGGAACTATGTGGCTGAAGGGGGTGCAATAAAAGAAACATTCCCTGATGAGCTGTTATTGGCAGTCAACTCAAGCACAACCCTGTGGTATGCAGATTATGTGAACTTTTTTGCTAGTGGGGTGACACCACCAGAATTAACACCAGACAATAGAAGAAGATTCTTGCATGACGTGAGGCTCTACATGTGGAATGAGCCATTCTAATACAGGCTCTGTGCAGATCAGTTGGTGCGGAGATATGTTCCTGAGGAGGAAATGAGTGCCATACTTCATAGCTATCACGCGTCGCTATACAGAGGTCATCACAGTGGAGACAGGACCGCCCAGAAAGTGCCACAATCAAGTTTCTATTGGCCGAAATTATTTAGGGATGCACACGCCTTTTTTAGAATGTGTGACAGGTGCCAAAGAATAGGAACGATCACGAAGAAGCATGAGGTGCCACAACAAAACATTTTGGTAGTGGAGCTTTTTGATGTTTGGGAAATTGACTTCATGTGACCGCTTCCATACTCTAACGGTCATAGGTACATCTTGGTGGCAGTTGACTATGTGTCTAAGTGGGTGGAGGCCATTTCTCTTCCCACTAATGATGCAAAGGTGGTGGTAAGATTTCTCAAGAAGCATATCTTCACACGCTTTGGACCTCCCAGAGTGTTGATCAGTGATAGAGGAACACATTTCTGCAATAAACTGTTGAACAATATTCTTGCAATGTACGGAGTCAAGCACAAGGTCTCCACTGCCTATCACCCTCAGACGAGTGGTCAAGTGGAGGTGTCAAACAGTGAGGAAAAGAAGATTCTTGAGAAAACAGTGAGTGCAAATAGAAAAGACTAGGCCGGGAAGCTAGACGACGCTTTATGGGCATATCGGACTGCATACAAGACTCCTATAGGTGTTTCTCTGTATAAATTAGTGTATGGGAAGGCATGTCACTTGCCCGTCAAACTGAATATGGATGGGGACTTAGCTGCAGAGAAGAGGTTGTTGCAAATCAACGAGTTGGATGAATTTCTATTGCACGCATATGAGAATGCCAAATTGTATAAATAGAAGACTAAGAGGTGTCGTGACAAGCACATTCATCATCGATAGTTCGAGCTAGGGAAAGAAGTTCTGTTGTTCAATTCGAGGTTGAAGATTTTTCGCGAAAAGCTTAAATCTTGTTGGTCAGGCCCTTTTGTTGTGGAAAGTGTGAAGCCTCATGGAGCTGTGGATATGCGGGACAAGAGTTCAACTATTAGTTTTTTGTGAATGGTTAAAGGATAAAACATTACTGGGGTGGTGACTTTTCACGTCCCAAGACCTCGGTGGACTTGACGGATGCTTGAGAACGTGCTAAGTCAAGCCGCGACATTAAATCAGGCTCTATATGGGAAGCAACCCATTGAATTGTTGTAACCGTCTTGCCACGATGTTAAATACGGTGCTGGTTGGGAGGCAACCCAACGAATGTAGTAGTGTTCATTTTGTATTTTATGAAGAGCTAACCAATGCAAGTGACAAAGGGCAGGTGCTAAGGCCACTGAACGAGGTAAGAACAGGTGAAAAGTTGAAAAACAAACTTGCACAGATGCACGCCCGTGCACTTGGACGCGCTAAATTGCAAAGTTTCTGCCTTGGCCGCACTAAAATATGCGCGCCTGCGCACCTAGGCACGCTAAATTGCAAAGTTTCTGCCTTGGCCGTGCTAAAATATGCATGCCTGCGCACCTGGTCATGCTAGTTGCCCGATGTTCTATGATTTTCGCGCTAAAAAACGTGCACCCGCGCACCTGGGTGCGCATGTTCAGTAAAACATCTGGCATTTTTAGTGTACTTATTTCACTTTGTTTACCCTTTAAACTAAATTTACCCCTTCCCTCCTCTAATAACTTGTCTCCCAAACCCCTCGTTCCCCAAATAACTAAACTCTAAACCCTTCTTCCTCCCATTCAAGCAAAACAACAACATCCCACATTCCAACGATTCCAGCGATTCGCCCCCCATCTTTGTCCCCATTCTCCCTCACCACAGGTATGAACCCTAGTTTTTTTGTTTCTCTTCTTCATCTTTTTTTTTCAGATTTTGTTGGTATGCAAATACCTTAGTGTAGCAGTTGTACTTAGCTTTAATGTAGAGATTTTGGTGCCATATGTTGAGGCGTTAGTGGATGATAAGTGTGGGGTGAAACCCCCTTAATTTGTGATGTTGGAGAATGTATGTGGGTGTGTCTTTTTCTAATAGGTTTAAAAGGAGTTGTGAAGGCCAAATGCCCACAAGGTGTTTGTGGAAAGGCCCCAATGAACGTGATTATGTAGTTTGTGACCACGGATGCGTGTGAAGTCTGAGTAACCGCATTACGTCCCATATCTTTACTGGGCGGGGCTAATGTGTTCTCGTTTTACAGGTATCATGACTCCCTCCAGGAAACGACGTGCCTCATCAACAAGCCAGGCTGGCTCGGCTACCTCAAGAGGGGTTGCACATGCAAGTCCCTTTGATGCTGCAAAATTTGTATTGGCCAATGCTCAGGCCCGAGTTGCGGAAAAGGCTCATAAAAAGCCAATTCTGGAGAGAGGTATTGATGTTAGTAGGCTCCAGCGATTCTTCCCTCATATGTACGATGAGTTGATGAGGTGGGGATTTCAAATATTCATCAATGAGCCCGGTGAGGTCAATGCCATGGTCGTGAGGGAATTATATGCTAATGCACCGGAGCATATTAATGGAATAGTCACGGTGCACCAACGGGCGGTGAATGCTTCGATAGAGGCTATTCGGACTGCCTACCAGCTACCTCCACCTCCTGTTGGATATACTGGCTTCTATGAATACAGTCGCAACCCAACGAATGAAAAATGGGCACGATTCTTTGAGACTATTTGTGCACCGGGCAAAGAAGTGGTCTAGATGGACTATGGGGAGTAGTTCCACTTCTCAGCACTTACCTATGAAGCAAAGTGTTGGCTGCTCCTCATTAACAACCACGTATAGGTAGCTTTTTATTTTTGTTTTCTTTTTGATTTGTAGATTAGGATAATGGGCTATGAGCTAGAGAACCAAAAGAGAACCCGTAGCATTGACACACCTGAACACAATAGATCCCTAGAGTGTAACGCTCAGTCGTATTTGTTGAATCTCAATAAAGTGCCTTAATCTGTATGTTGGTTACTGAATTGAATGCTTGTAACAGAGTGCCTTGATAAGCTGATCTGGAATGAGTCATATGCCATGTGTGGTGAGGTTTTTGTATAGTCGATTTATTGTACTTGTGTCTAGAACTTGCCCGGTATGTGAGTTGAAGCAATCATTAGGTGATGTTCGATTTGAAAAGTGATTTTAGACTTTCTTTGATTTT